AACTGACATTTAATGTGGATAAGTGCAAGATAATGCATCTTGGACGTAAAAACCCAAGGGCAGAGTACAGAATATTTGATAGAGTCCTAACCTCAACATATTAGGAAAGGGATTTAGGGGTGATTATTTCTGATGACTTAAAGGTAGGCAGACAATGTAATAGAGCAACAGGAAATGCTAGCAGAATGCTTGGTTGTATAGGGAGAGGTAATAGCAGTAGAAAGAGGGAAGTGATCATGCCATTGTACAGAACACTGGTGAGACCTCACTTGGAGTATTGTACACAGTACTGGAGACCATATCTTCAGAAGGATATTGATACCTTAGAGAGAGTTCAGAGAAGGGCTGCTAAACTGGTTCATGGATTGCGGGATAAAACTTACCAGGAAAGGTTAAAAGGATCTTAACATGTATAGCTTGGAGGAAAGACGAGACAGGGGGGATATGATAGAAACATTTAAATATATAAAGGGAATCAACACAGTAAAGGAGGAGACTATATTTAAAAGAAGAAAAACTACCACAACAAGAGGACATAGTCTTAAATTAGAGGGACAAAGGTTTAAAAAATAATATCAGGAAGTATTACTTTACTGAGAGGGTAGTGGATGCATGGAATAGCCTTCCAGCTGAAGTGGTAGAAGTTAACACAGTAAAGGAGTTTAAGCATGCGTGGGATAGGCATAAGGCTATCTTAACTATAAGATAAGACTAGGGACTAATGAAAGTATTTAGAAAATTGGGCAGACTAGATGGGCCGAATGGTTCTTATCTGCCGTCACATTCTATGTTTCTATGTTTCTATGTTAGTGGTTGGAGTAGGGTTAGGGTTGGAGTAGAGTAACCCTACCATAACCCTAACCGAACTCCTAACACCACACTAACGCTAACCTTACCCCTAACCCTACCATAACCCTACTCCTAATCCTAACCCTGCTCCTAACTCAACCCTACCCTTAACCCTACCCTAACCCTTCCCTAACACTACTCCTAACCTTAACCCTGCCACTTACTCAACCCTACCATAAACCAACCCTTAACCCTACCACTAGTCCTACCCTAACCCTACCACTAGCCCTAACCCTACCATAACCATAACCCTACCACTAGCCCTACCCTTAACCCTACCCCTACTCCTAAACCCACCCAACCTCAAACCCTACCCCTACTCCTAAACTAACCCTAACCTAACCCTACTTTAACGGCTACCCAGATGGTGAGGGGGTATCAGCCGTTGGAGACGTCCTTTCCCTGGCAAGATGCTGTATAAGAATGGAGTTGTTCTTATTCCCATCCACAAGATCCAAGGGTAGAAGCAGGCATAGCTGGAAAATGGAGCAGAGTAATGGTGTAGTAAATCCCCTTTCAAGAACGAGATGAGGCTACGTTTTGAAGGGTCAAGCAGAACTAAAGCTTTAATGACAGACACTGTCTTTTATGTGATTCTGCCCATGCAAGGGAGACACCCACATAATTAACAGTACAGCCAATAAACACAATATACATTCCATACATCTCCTCCCCTTAGATAACCACATAACATAATTAAAAATGAACATGATTTCCCCAAAGTTTGGATGTACCCCAAATACTTGGGGTACAGGCATAAGTCCGGTGTCCCAGATAGCTTGATTCTGGGGGACCAATATATCCAAAATTCAGCTCATTCGGTTCAGCCGTTTGGGAGTTATGGAGCTTTAAAGTTTTGACCGACCACACAGGCATACTGGCCGAAAATAGTTCCATAAGTTTTGGCCTTGTGGTCAGTCCCCGTTCGTGCGCTGAAAAAGCACGAAAATCCTGCCATCCGCATATAATTTGGTGTTCGCTGGAATCCCCATACACAATATATCCTTTCTACCGAACGGCCGATCGTTCGGTAGTTTCAGCATGAAATTACGTTGGTATGGAGGTCTCAGCGGTGTTCGCCTACTCGAGTGTCCGTTTTTAGTTCCAGACACTCGATGGCAAATCACCGCTGTTCGTGCGTAAGATGGCCGCGAACATGTGACAAGTCCCGAAATGGCGGCCACCTAGATTTTACACAAAGGATTCGTGCAGTATCATGCGAACGGTATATGCCGGTCTGGGAGGTAAAATACCAATTAACTACACAGCAGGGTGGTCCGGTGTTCGGCAGTTTGCATTCGTTTTTAGTGTATAACAATCCACATACACAGGCAAGTATGTTCTTTTGTATTCCCAGGCTTATGTATTGTTAAATATGTCCAGGCAGAGATTATAGTTCTGTTACACCTACCCTAGCCCTACCTCTAACCCTACTCCTAAACTAACCCTACCCCTAACCATACTCCTTAACCAACCCTAACCTAATCCTAGCTCTAACCCTACACTTACCCCAATTTCCGAAGTCCCGAATTTCAGAATGCCGAACCGAATATTTTTCCAATGCACATCCCTACCAAGTAGATCACATCCACTGCAACACCCTGATCTATACTTCTACTTACTTTTCCGTAGAATGCAATTAGGTTAGTTTGACATGACCGATGTTTCATAAAACCATGTTGATTAATTCTAATAACAAAGTTCTTCCCAATGAATTCTTGAATATGATCCCTTAATAACCCTTCAAATAATTTCCCAGTCACATAAATTAAGCTCACAGGTCTATAAGTTCCAGGCAAGGATTTTGAACCCTTTTTGAATATAGGAACCACATCTGCCTTCCTCCAATCCTCTGGTATAATTCCTGAAAGAAAAGAATCTTTAAAGATTAAATACAGAGGTTCACTTATTTCCCCACTTAGCTCCTTAAGTACTCATGGGTGAATACTATCAGGCCCTGTGATTTATTCAGTACAAATGTAATATAGGAGGTGTGTAAGCGTGTGAGCTATGAAGGAGTCTGGCAGGGCATACAGTGACACACCAACTGCTGGGGGTTTGTGTGGGGGTTCAGTACATGAATGGAAACCATTGAACCGATTTCTAGAAGTTACATTAAACGAAGTACATTTTGTTTCCAGGTTGATTACACCAACCCAAATTCATATATCAATGTGATCATCGGTCTTTCAACCTTCCTGTCTTTCTATGGGTATCTGCTTTTCTACAAAGTCACCAAGAAGTCTCTGGAGGGTTATAGTCCACGCTCCAAATTTATCTGCATCACGCTGGTGCTGTTTCTGTGTGGCTTGCAGAATGGAATACTGGAGACTATGGCGGCACTCGGTGCCATCCCCTGCGTGCCACCATTTACTGTGGAGACCCGCTCTCAGAGTAAGTGCCCACTTTGTCTTGTGAGCATGGAACCACATGCCGTGTAATATCTCGGTGTAAGGCTGGTCCAGCTGGATGGAACAGAGTGCATGGAGGGGAGACTAGGTATAACGTGTGTGTTTGTAATAAATGGCAGGGTAGACACTGTACATGATATATTGAGGTAAAAGCTGGGTGTGTGAGTATCGGATGGCAGGGTAGACACTGTACTTGTTATATCGGGGTAAAAGTGGGGTGTGTGAGTAACGTATTCCAGGGTAGATGCTGTACGTGTTATATCGAGGTAAAAGCTGGGTGTAGGAGTAACGGATGGCAGGGTAGATGCTGTACATGATGTATCGAGGTAAAAGCTGGATGTGTGAGTATTGGATGGCAGGGTAGACAGTGTACTTGTTATATCAGGGTAAAAGTGGGGTGTGTGAGTAACGGATGGCAGGGTAGATGCTGTACATGATATATCGGGGTAAAAGCAGGGTGTGTGAGTAACGTATTTCAGGGTAGATGCTGTACGTGTTATATCGAGGCGAAAGCTGGGTGTGTGAGTATTGGATGTGAGGGTAGATGCTGTACATGATATATCGGGGTAAAAGCAGGGTGTGTGAGTAACGGATGGCAGGGTAGACACTATACGTGTTATAGCGAGGTAAAAGCTGGGTGTAGGAGTAACAGATGGCAGGGTAGACACTGTACATGTTATATCGGGGCAATAGTGCGTGTATATGTAACGGTAGAAGGTGGATAGTCATGTATTTATTAACATGTTGATTTTTCCCGCAGCCATCTTTAACTACGCTCTCACCATGGAGATGTTTTTCATCAGCTTATTTGCTCGTTACTGTTTTCGGAGGGTGGAACCAGGCCCTGACAGAGAATCACTGGGCCCTGAAGGGACCCAGGACAAGTCCTCGCAGACAGCATTTGCTGGCCGCTACAGCCTTTCTGAAGAGGAGTACACAAACTCCAGTTACATGATGGACAGCGATGAAACACTCTGCCACATTGAACATGCCCCACTGGATAAATATGACTTTCTGCAGCCACAGGAGGACGTGGCCCCCATAGCTAGGCATTCGACACCCTGGGGACTGCCATTAAATGAGGCCAAAGGTCTGGCAGTAGAAATGGGAAACCTGAGCTCTGCAGGTGTGATGGACGTGGGTAACAGTACGTCTGCTTCCTCTGGAAAAGGAGTCCTGCAAGTCCAGGCCCAGATTAATTACATTAACGAGGCTACTGTAGTGTAAGTGCAGGGAGGGACCAGCTCCATATTAGTCCATGTAATGCCTGGCATGGAGTTATAACCCAATTTATTCAAAATCCTCACTGCCCCTATACCAGACCTCCCTGGTACACCACCCTCCACCCCTCAGTACCTCTATACCAAACCTCGCTGACACCCCACACTCCTGCCCTCAGTGCCTCTATACCAGACCTCCCTGGTACACCACACTCCAGCCCTCACTGCCCCTATACTAGACCTCGCGGACACCCCACACTCCTGCCCTCAGTGCCTCTATACCAGACCTCCCTGGTACACCACACTCCAGCCCTCACTGCCCCTATACCAGACCTCGCGGACACCCCACACTCCTGATCTCAGTGCCTCTATACTAGACCTCCCTGGTACACCACACTCCAGCCCTCACTGCCCCTATACCAGACCTCACGGACACCCCACACTCCTCCCTCAGTGCCCTTATACCAGACCTCCCTGGTACACCACACTCCAGCCCTCACTGCCCCTATACCAGACCTCGGACACCCCACACTCCTGCCCTCAGTGCCTCTATACCAGACCTCCCTGGTACACCACACTCCAGCCCTCACTGCCCCTATACCAGACCTCGCGGACACCCCACACTCCTGCCCTCAGTGCCCTTATACCAGACCTTCCTGGTACACCACCCTCCAGCCCTCGGTGCCTCTATACCAGACCTCCCTGGTACACCACACTCCTGCCCTCACTGCCCCTATACCAGACCTCACGGACACCCCACACTCCTTCCCTCAGTGCCCTTATACCAGACCTCCCTGGTACACCACCCTCCAGCCCTCAGTGCCTCTATACCAGACCTCGCTGACACCCCACACTCCTGCCCTCAGTGCCTCTATACCAGACCTCCCTGGTACACCACACACCAGCCCTCACTGCCCCTATACCAGACCTCGCGGACACCCCACACTCCTGACCTTAGTGCCCTTATACCAGACCTCCCTGTTATACCACCCTCCAGCCCTCAGTGCCTCTATACCAGACTGTGGCAGAAGCAGCCACAAGAGACTTTTGCATTGATTATTGCCTGTATTTGAACTGTATGTTATTTGAGCATAGTGGATTTTATTAGACTGGTTCTGGCCCTTTAAATGCTCTGACAAAGGATCTGCAGTTTTGCTATGCACTTCGGATGCAGAGTGTGAAGAAAAACCCTGTTTTATGGACTTAGTTTGACTGTTTTATTCCCCTCCCTCCTAGAACACCAGCTTAAAAACCCTTAATAACTGTCATATTTCCAAACGCTGTCTGTCTTTAACTGTCAGTTTGTTTTCCTCTGTGGAGGGGTTGTTTTGCTGCGTGAGTGCTGTTGCTTTGTGTGCTCATTAAACAGACCTGCTTGACCCTTTCTTGAAGCCTTGGCTCATGCTTGGGGGATGGGATAAGTCTGCAGTGCTGATGGTGTCGGTTGGAGTGCTTGAAGTCCTCGGCAAGCACTAGGAGCATCGATTGACGGAGGTACTCGGTCGGAGTGCCAGCGGGTCCGTCACAATTGGTGGCAGCGACGGGATTCAAACCTCACAGCAGACCATTGTTCGGCAGTTACAGCCATTTGGGAAATTTGCTATTTCGTATGGAACCGAAAGGAAAGGGTATGTGAATATACCCGAACGGATAGTGAACGGGGACAGACTATACCAACCTGAAACGGGCCACGCTAAAAGAACTATTGGAAGCAAGGGGAATTATTGCCAGCAATAAAACCAAAGCTACCCTTATTGCTGAACTCATGGAGGGAGACCGGGCAGCTGCTGCAGCACCTCTTATGGACAGCACACAGAATGAGTTTGGAAGAGAACTCCAAAGCAGACTGGCCTTTTTCCCAGGTACGCCTCCCACAGAAACCGTGGAAAGGATTATGGCAGATGTCCACGAATACATAATGGAAAAGCAGCGGGCAGACCGGAGGTCCAGAGCGGGGTCCCTAATCACACCACACATAGTAACGGGGAAGCCTAAAATCCCGTGGCCCCCATAGCTAGGCATTCGACACCCTGGGGACTGCCATTAAATGAGGCCAAAGGTCTGGCAGTAGAAATGGGAAACCTGAGCTCTGCAGGTGTGATGGACGTGGGTAACAGTACGTCTGCTTCCTCTGGAAAAGGAGTCCTGCAAGTCCAGGCCCAGATTAATTACATTAACGAGGCTACTGTAGTGTAAGTGCAGGGAGGGACCAGCTCCATATTAGTCCATGTAATGCCTGGCATGGAGTTATAACCCAATTTATTCAAAATCCTCACTGCCCCTATACCAGACCTCCCTGGTACACCACCCTCCACCCCTCAGTACCTCTATACCAAACCTCGCTGACACCCCACACTCCTGCCCTCAGTGCCTCTATACCAGACCTCCCTGGTACACCACACTCCAGCCCTCACTGCCCCTATACTAGACCTCGCGGACACCCCACACTCCTACCCTCAGTGCCCTTATACCAGACCTCCCTGGTACACCACACTCCAGCCCTCACTGCCCCTATACCAGACCTCGCGGACACCCCACACTCCTGATCTCAGTGCCTCTATACCAGACCTCCCTGGTACACCACACTCCAGCCCTCACTGCCCCTATACCAGACCTCGCGGACACCCCACACTCCTGCCCTCAGTGCCTCTATACCAGACCTCCCTGGTACACCACACTCCAGCCCTCACTGCCCCTATACCAGACCTATCGGACACCCCACACTCCTGCCCTCAGTGCCTCTATACCAGACCTCCCTGGTACACCACACTCCAGCCCTCACTGCCCCTATACCAGACCTCGCGGACACCCCACACTCCTGATCTCAGTGCCTCTATACTAGACCTCCCTGGTACACCACACTCCAGCCCTCACTGCCCCTATACCAGACCTCGCGGACACCCCACACTCCTGCCCTCAGTGCCTCTATACCAGACCTCCCTGGTACACCACACTCCAGCCCTCACTGCCCCTATACCAGACCTATCGGACACCCCACACTCCTGCCCTCAGTGCCTCTATACCAGACCTCCCTGGTACACCACCCTCCAGCCCTCAGTACCTCTATACCAAACCTCGCTGACACCCCACACTCCTGCCCTCAGTGCCTCTATACCAGACCTCCCTGGTACACCACACTCCAGCCCTCACTGCCCCTATACTAGACCTCGCGGACACCCCACACTCCTACCCTCAGTGCCCTTATACCAGACCTCCCTGTTATACCACCCTCCAGCCCTCAGTGCCTCTATACCAGACCTCGCGGACACCCCACACTCCTACCCTCAGTGCCCTTATACCAGACCTCCCTGTTATACCACCCTCCTGCCCTCAGTGCCTCTATACCAGACCTCGCTGACACCCCACACTCCTGCCCTCAGTGCCTCTATACCAGACTGTGGCAGAAGCAGCCACAAGAGACTTTTGCATTGATTATTGCCTGTATTTGAACTGTATGTTATTTGAGCATAGTGGATTTTATTAGACTGGTTCTGGCCCTTTAAATGCTCTGACAAAGGATCTGCAGTTTTGCTGTGCACTTCGGATGCAGAGTGTGAAGAAAAACCCTGTTTTATGGACTTAGTTTGACTGTTTTATTCCCCTCCCTCCTAGAACACCAGTTTAAAAACCCTTAATAACTGTCATATTTCCAAACGCTGTTAACTGTCAGTTTGTTTTCCTCTGAGGAGGAGTTGTTTTGCTGCGTGAGTGCTGTTGCTTTGTGTGCTCATTAAAACAGACCTGCTTGACCCTTTCTTGAAGCCTTGGCTCATGCTTGGGGGATGGGATAAGTCTGCAGTGCTGATGGTGTCGGTTGGAGTGCTTGAAGTCCTCGGCAAGCACTAGGAGCATCGATTGACGGAGGTACTCGGTCAGAGTGCCAGCGGGTCCGTCACAATTGGTGGCAGCGACGGGATTCAAACCTCACAGCAGACCATTGTTCGGCAGTTACAGCCATTTGGGAAATTTGCTATTTCGTATGGAACCGAAAGGAAAGGGTATGTGAATATACCCGAACGGATAGTGAACGGGGACAGACTATACCAACTTGAAACGGGCCACGCTAAAAGAACTATTGGAAGCAAGGGGAATTATTGCCAGCAATAAAACCAAAGCTACCCTTATTGCTGAACTCATGGAGGGAGACCGGGCAGCTGCTGCAGCACCTCTTATGGACAGCACACAGAATGAGTTTGGAAGAGAACTCCAAAGCAGACTGGCCTTTTTCCCAGGTACGCCTCCCACAGAAACCTTGGAAAGGATTATGGCAGATGTCCACGAATACATAATGGAAAAGCAGCGGGCAGACCGGAGGTCCAGAGCGGGGTCCCTAATCACACCACACATAGTACCGGGGAAGCCTAAAATCCCGTACCATGCTTTTAAAAACTATGTGGAGACCGAAGACATCGATGGCTACTTGCATGACTTTGAGAGGTTATGCCAATTACATGAGATCAACGCTGCCGACCAGGTACCCCTGTTGGTGGGTAAGCTAGTGGGCCGGGCAGCAGAAGCCTACCGCACCATGCCAGACGAGGATAGAAGAGACTACCAGAAAGTAAAGCAGGCGATCCTGGACAGGTATGCAATTACCCCGGAGGCATACCGGCAGCGGTTCCGAGAAAGCCGAAAGACTGAGAAAGATACTCACATGGAGTGGGCACACCACTTAACTAGGGCAGTTGGGTGCAAGCCGCACAAGCAACCACAGTGGAGGACATGCTACAATTACTGCTACTGGAGCAATTTTTCCAGGGGTTAACCCCGGATTTACAAAACTGGCTGAGGGATCAGAAACCGCGCATCTTAACTGACGCCGCCAGGTGGGCAGACGAGTACCAAGATGCCAGGAGGGCACAGCGAGCACAGGCACGGTCCATCTTGGGAGCTGCTAACCCACCTCCCACCATTAACCCCACCCCAGCACTGCGTCCGGGTGGTGGGAACTACCAAACCCCTCCACGGTACAACAATGCCCGATCTTTCATCAGGTGCCACACGTGTAACCAGCAGGGCCACATGCAGAGAGACTTTCCCAAAAACAGAAACCGCTCCATGTGGAATACTCCAACTAATTCCCCTGCAAACCGGGCAGCAGTACGCTGCTACCAGAGTGAGCCTCGACAACCTTTCTTCGGGACCCGGTCTAATGAAGAATCTTTGAGCACCCTCCACGAGGTTAACCCAGTACAAGCAGCTGCAGACAACCGACAGGGACACCGCCAAGGGGTACACGTAGAGGGAAAACGCCTTCAGGGTCTGCGCGATTCTGGGGCCACCATAACCCTGGTTCGCAATCACCTAGTCCCCAAGCACCAGCTCACTGGAGAATATGTGGCAGTCCGGGTGGCAGGGGGAGCGATTTACAAAATTCCCACTGCTAATGTACATTTGGATTGGGGAGCGGGGTCGGGGAATGTGGAAGTGGGCTTCATGCAGGACTTACCAGCTGATGTCATCCTGGGTAACGACTTGGGGGAGCTGACCTCCGCTTTTGTTTCTCAGCACCCCGCGCAGGAAGCGCTACCCGTGATAACACGGCAGCAGGCCCGCACCACCGCATCTTCTGAACACTCTGAGGCTCCGGTAAGTAACAGTACTGACCCACCTTTCGTCCCCTGGGCTCCCCCCTTAGAATTTGGTACTGAAGTAGTCACCGACCCGTCCCTGCAGGTATACCGGGATAGGGCTACACAGAATCAGGCAGGGTTAGAGGGGGAAAGATACGCTTGGGAGAAAGGATTATTACATAGATATGCTGAGAAGGTAGTAGCAGGATTTGTACCCATGACCCTCACACAATTAGTCGTGCCCCGAAAGTACAGGCAAGAATTACTACGTATTGCCCATGACATTCCTTTATCAGGACATCTAGGCGTCAGTAGGACGAAGCATCGTTTGACCCAAAACTTCTTTTGGCCAGGGGTCTCCAAAGATATTCAGCAGTATTGCCAAACTTGTGACACATGCCAGAGAGTAGGGAAGAGAGGGGACCGGTACAAGGCAAAAATGCACTCCCTACCCATAATAGATGAACCCTTCAGTAGAGTGGCAGTAGATATAATCGGACCCCTAGCAAAACCCAGCCCGTCAAGGAAGAAGTATATACTAACCGTAGTAGACTATGCCACCCGGTACCCAGAGGCCGTAGCCCTAACTAATATCCATGCGGAGACTATAGTAGATGCCCTAATCCGGATATTCTCCAGAATGGGGTTCCCCAAAGAGATTATCTCAGATCGGGGTACCCAATTCACAGCCGAAGTCACTCATCAGTTATGGAGAACATGTGGGGTGAAACCTATTGTAAACTCAGCGTATAACCCCCAGTCCAATGGGCTCTGTGAACGGTTCAACGGAACCTTAAAGCAAATGCTCCGTACCTTCATGGATACCCAGAAGGACTGGGAAAGGTTTCTTCCCCATCTGCTCTTCGCGTACCGAGAGGTACCCCAGGAGTCCACGGGGTTCTCGCCATTCGAATTACTATTCGGAAGGAGAGTGCAGAGTCCCTTAGACCTCATTAGGGAACACTAGGAGGGAACAGTCACCAGTAACGGTACCCCTATCGTCCCATATGTACTAGAGTTCAGGGAACGCTTGGAGACCCTAATCCAGACGGTACGGTCTAATCTCCAGGCTGCCCAGCAACGACAGCGCAGATGGTTCGATAGGGGAGCCAGAGACCGCAGTTTTCAAATAGGACAAAAGGTGTTAATCTTGAAGCCAGTCCAAAATGACAAACTGCAGGCCTCCTGGCAGGGCCCTTATAAGGTGGTGGAACAGGTATGTGACACCACCTATATAATTGCCCCATGTACAGGAGCAGGCGGTAGACGCATGCTCCACGTTAACATGCTGAAACCCTATCACGAGCGGACCGAAGAAGTAACTGCCATATGTGCCTCGACCGCAGAGTACCCGGATAATCTACCCCTACCAGACCTATTAGCCCAAGGGGGGGGCCAACACCGAATTAGGGGAAGTACAGCTAGGAGACAGGCTGAGCACTAGAGAGCGAGCTCAAATACTAGAGCTGATCCGGGAAAAAGGGGATACATTCTCCAACCAGCCCGGCTATACCCCGCTGGCTACCCACAGGCTAGAAACCCCAGGGCAACACCATCTTCGACAAACCCCCTACCGCATACCCGAATCCGTAAAAGATCATATGCGGAAGGAGATTGACGAAATGTTACAACTAGGAGTGATAGAACACTCAGATAGCCCATGGGCCTCTCCGGTAGTGCTGGTACCGAAGCGGGACGGAACCACCCGCTTCTGCGTCGACTACCGGAAACTTAATGATAAAACAATTTCAGATGCCTATCCCATGCCCCGAATCGATGAGCTCTTAGATAAAATGGCCAGGGGCCAGTACCTCACCACAATAGACTTGTGCAAAGGGTACTGGTAGATCCCACTAGCCGAGGATGCCATCCCAAAGTCCGCATTCGTCACCCCGTTTGGGCTACACCAATTCAAGGTGATGCCATTCGGGATGAAGAATGCGCCGGCTACGTTTCAGCGGATGGTGGACCAGTTACTGGACGGATCCCAGGAGTATGCTTGCGCCTATTTAGATGACATAGCAATATTTAGCAACTCCTGGGACGAGCACTTGACCCATATAGGAGCCATCCTCGACCGCATCAGGGAGGCAGGTCTCACGTTAAAACCCAGCAAGTGCCACGTAGGGATGGCCGAAGTGCAGTACTTAGGCCACAGGGTGGGCAGTGGGCAGCAAAAGCCAGAACCCGCTAAGATAGAGGCCATAGCTAAGTGGCCAACCCCTCGCACGAAAACTCAGGTTTTAGCTTTTCTAGGGACCGCCGGGTATTACCGTAAATTTGTACCTAATTATAGTGCCCAAGCCAAGCCCCTTACTGACCTCACCAAAAAGAACTTACCCAAAGTAGTGACCTGGAGCCCAGAGTGTGAGAAGGCATTCCAAGAACTGAAAACTGCCCTAATTCATGCCCCTGTACTGGCTGCTCCCGATCCAACTAAACGCTTTCTCGTTCATACAGACGCTTCTATGTTTGGATTGGGAGCAGTGCTGAGCCAAGTTGGGGCCGATGGCGGCGAGCATCCAGTCGCTTACTTAAGTCGGAAACTATGACCCAGGGAAGTAAGCTATGCCGCCATCGAAAAGGAATGCCTGGCGGTGGTGTGGGCCCTCAAGAAACTCCAGCCCTACTTATATGGACAACAATTTGCCTTGCTCACAGATCACAACCCGTTGGTGTGGCTAAACCGGGTGTCAGGGGACAACGCTAGACTACTGAGATGGAGCTTGGCACTACAACCATTTGATTTCACCATCCAGTATCGCCCAGGGAAACAAAATGGTAACGCCGACGGGTTGTCCAGACAGACAGAACTCGAGAAATTATCTGTGAGCACTCTCCCGGACATCCCCAAGCCGATCCGTTGGGATCAGACTGTGTATGCCGGCTTGGTTCTGGGGGAGCATTGTGGCAGAAGCAGCCACAAGAGACTTTTGCATTGATTATTGCCTGTATTTGAACTGTATGTTATTTGAGCATAGTGGATTTTATTAGACTGGTTCTGGCCCTTTAAATGCTCTGACAAAGGATCTGCAGTTTTGCTATGCACTTCGGATGCAGAGTGTGAAGAAAAACACTGTTTTATGGACTTAGTTTGACTGTTTTATTCCCCTCCCTCCTAGAACACCAGTTTAAAAACCCTTAATACCTGTCATATTTCCAAACGCTGTCTGTCTTTAACCCCTTAAGGACAGAGCCAAATGTACACATTGTTAACAAAACAAAACGTAAACAAAACCTGGAATTTGCGCTACATGTCTGTCCAACCGTAATTCACCTCTTTCATAGTAAATGCACCCACCCTTATTATATATCATTTTATTCAGGGAAAACAGGGCTTTCATTTAATATCAAATATTTAGCTATGAAACATAATTTAATATGAAAAAAATGGGAGAGAATACGATTTTTTTTTATTTTTTTAGTTCTACATGACATTTTAACGGTCAATGTCATAATACTGTTTGCTTTTACTGCAATAAAATACACATATTTGTATTCAGTAAAGTCTCACGTGTAAGACAGTACCCCCTATGTACAGGTTTTATGGCGTTTTGGGAAGTTGCAGGGTCAAATATAGCACGTTACATTTGAAATTGAAATTCGCCAGATTGGTTACGTTGCCTTTGGGACTTTATAGTAGCCCAGGAATGAAATTTACACCCATAATGGCATACCATTTGCAATAGTAGACAACCCAAGGTATTGCAAATGGGGTATGTCCAGTCTTTTTAGTAGCCATTTGGTCACAAACACTGGCCAAAGTTAGCGTTAGTATTTGTTTGTGTGTGAAAATGCAAAAAATGCCAATTTTGGCCAGTGTTTGTGACTAAGTGGCTACTAAAAAAGACTGGACATACCCTGTTTGCAATACCTTGGGTTGTCTACTATTGCAAATGGTATGCCATCATAAGGGTAATTTTCATTCTTGGGCTACCATAGGGTCTCAAAGGCACCGTAACCAATGTGGCGTATTTTAATGTGAAAAAAAATCAAACGCAAGCCTTATATTTGACGCTGTAACTTTTGAAAACACCATAAAACCTGTACATGAGGGGTACTGTTGTACTCGGGAGACTTTGCTGAACACAAATATTTGTGTTTCAAAACAGCAAAAAGTATCACAGCAATAATATTGTCCGTGTAAGTGCTGTTTGTGCATGAAAAATGCAAAAAACTTCACTTTTACTGGCGATATCATCGTTGTAATACATTTTACTGTTTTGAAACACTAATATTTGTGTTCAGCGAAGTCTCTCGAGTAGAACAGTACCCCCCATGTACAGGTTTTATGGTGTCTTGGAAAGTTATAGGGTTAAATATAGTGCTAGCAAATTAAATTCCCTTTACTTTCGGCATGGGTTGTCAGGCAGGTCCCGCTAATTGTAATTAAGATACCTAATTATGTAAAAATATTACATAAATATATATGCAGAATTAATATATGTATATATATACGTATGTGTATATATATATGTATATATCTATATAATTTTTAAAAAATATTTTTATTTATATATAGGTATATATATAGTGATATATACGTATATATTTATGTATATAGATATATATATTATTTCGTTCTACGTGTATTTTGATATATATATATATATATATTAATTTCACAATACAGTTAGAACGAAATAACAAACATCTATATATTTTTTTAATTATTTATTTTTAATTATTTTTTTAATTTTATTTTTTAACGTATTTACATTTTTATTTTTTTTATATTATATATAAATATAACAATAATTATATATATATATATATTTAATCAGTATCAGTCTACGTGTAATTTGATATATATATATATATATATATATATAATTATATATATATATATTAATAGTAAAATACACCTAGACGGTGTACGTGTGTGTATGTATATGTGTGTATATATATATATATATACTTAGATCATATATATATATATAATATATATATGATCTAAGTATATATTATTTTCTTTTTTACACTATTTATTTTATTCATTTTTATTTTCAGCCAGCAGGGGGACCACCTGTCATTACTGGCAGCCCCCTTGCTGGCAATGCTGCAGCCAGCTACCCCCGGCCATGTGATTGTGGGGTCTTCGCAAGGACCCCACTCTCACATGGCCGGGGGGCTTCCAGGAGGACGGAGGTGCCGCGGTGGGCTCCCTGGGAGTCCCCCGAACCGCGATCGCCGGCGACCGGGTAAGTAGGAAAAGACCGGAGGGCGTACTATTACGCCCGGCGGCGTTTAGAGCCACTTAGAATAGGGCGTAATAGTTTGTTTTGTTTTCCTCTGAGGAGGAGTTGTTTTGCTGCGTGAGTGCTGTTGCTTTGGTGCTCATTAAAACAGACCTGCTTGACCCTTTCTTGAAGCCTTGGCTCATGCTTGGGGGATGGGATAAGTCTGCAGTGCTGATGGTGTCGGTTGGAGTGCTTGAAGTCCTCGGCAAGCACTAGGAGCATCGATTGGCGGAGGTACTCGGTCGGAGTGCCAGCGGGTACACCACACTCCAGCCCTCAGTGCCTCTCTACCAGACCTCGCTGACACCCCACACTCCTGCCCTCAGTGCCTCTCTACCAGACCTCCCTGGTACACCACACACCAGCCCTCAGTGCCTCTATACCAGACCTCCCTGGTACACCACACTCCAGCTCTCAGTGCCCCTATGCCAGCCCTCAGTGTCACTTTAATTAGAACTCACTGGCACAACTCATTCCAGCTTAGTACCCTGCACCAACTGGATACATGTCTAGCGTTTGGACGATAATGTAGACATCTTTGCTGCAGTAGTCTGCACACTGGTGGGAATATTCGTTGTTGCATAAAAGCTTAATATCAGATTCACCAAGCTGGAGTTATCGTTAAATTGGGACAATATTTAAAAAAAAATCTTCATTTTGGTTTTTAATTCATGTTTAAATATTCATTAATTAATTATCAGTCTGACGTTCAGGTGTTTGAAGGGATAGGTAAATTTTTATTATTTTCTAAATGGGATATTGTAGAAAATGAACAATATCTCTAGATTTTAGGCTCGCTCCCAGCACAGAGCACGTTCTCGGTGTAAACTCCCGGCACAGAGCACGTTTTCGATGTAAACTCCCGGCACAGAGCACGTTTTTGGTGTAAACTCCCGGCACAGAGCACGTTTTCGGTGTAAACTCATGGTGCTTACCATTTGGTTTAAAGACAACTGCATTTTGTTTAAAACATCTTTATTTTACAGAAATAAAACAATGATAAATATCAGAAAACAAATGTTATTTGTACAATATTAAAAGCCACATCAGGAGACTGGCGCATCCACTTCCTGACTGGCAGTCCCAGGTGGGGTCTCGTCTGATGGAGCAGAAGGCCTCTCCTTAGATAGCAGGTTGTTTCTCTTTAGGAAGCAGGCCTCCTGGTATGGGGGACAGATGGGGGGCTGTGTGGGGGGGAGGTAACTGTATTCTTTCCCAGTCTCCAACTGCAAACAATGAGACAAATAAAAAAGTATTTTATAGAACTGCGCTGACACCCAAAACCAAGAGCTTCAGACACATTAAATGTTATTTCTGAGCAATTTCTTTAAACAGAGCCTTTACACTAGTTCCCAGCATGCAATTCATTTAACGTTACTCTCAAGAGATAGAACATGTGCAAGTTACATGCCAGGCGGGCACAGAGTGATACAGACACCAGGAGTTACATGCCAGGCAGGCACAGTGATACAGACACCACCATGAGTTACATGCCAGGCGGGCACAGAGTGATACAGACACCAGGAGTTACATGCCAGGCAGGCACAAAGATACAGACACCACCATGAGTTACACGCCAGGCGGGCACAGAGTGATACAGACACCAGGAGTTACATGCCAGGCAGGCACAGTGATACAGACACCACCATGAGTTACACGCCAGGCGGGCACAGAGTGATACAGACACCAGGAGTTACACGCCAGGCAGGCACAGTGATAAAGAAACCACCAGGAGTTACACGCCAGGCAGGCATAGTGATACAGACACCACCATGAGTTACACGCCAGGCGGGCACAGAGTGATACAGACACCAGGAGTTACATGCCAGGCAGGCACAGAGTGATACAGACACCAGGAGTTACATGCCAGGCAGGCACAGTGATATAGACACCACCATGAGTTACAAGCCAGGCGGGCACAGAGTGATACAGACACCAGTAGTTACATGCCAGGCAGGCACAGTGATACAGACACCACCATGAGTTACACGCCAGGCGGGCACAGAGTGATACAGACACCAGGAGTTACATGCCAGGCAGGCACAGTGATACAGACACCAGGAGTTACATGCCAGGCAGGCACAGAGTGATACAGACACCAGGAGTTACACGCCAGGCGGGCACAGAGTGATACAGACACCAGGAGTTACATGCCAGGCAGGCACAGTGATACAGACACCAGGAGTTACATGCCAGGCAGGCACAGAGTGATACAGACACCAGGAGTTACACGCCAGGCGGGCACAGAGTGATACAGACACCAGGAGTTATACGCCAGGTGGGCACAGTGATACAAACACCACCATGAGTTCCACGCCAGGCGGGCACAGTGATACAGACACCACCATGAGTTACATGCCAGGCAGGCACAGAGTGATACAGACACCAGGAGTTACACGCCAGGCAGGCACAGAGTGATACAGACCAGGAGTTACACGCCAGGCGGGCACAGAGTGATACAGACACCATGAGTTATACGCCAGGCGGGCACAGTGATACAGACACCACCATGAGTTACACGCTAGGCGGGTACAGTGATACAGACACCACCATGAGTTACACGCTAGGCGGGCACAGTGATACATACACAACCATGAGTTACACGCTAGACGGGCACAGTGATACAGACACCGTGAGTTATACGTCAGGCGGGCACAGTGATACAGACACCACCATGAGTTACACGCTAGGCGGGCACAGTGATACAGACACCACCATGAGTTACACGCTAGGCGGGCACAGTGATACACACACCATGAGTTACACGCCAGACGGGCACAGAGTGATACAGACACCGTGAGTTATACGCCAGGCGGGAAAAAAATGTTGGTGGGAAGAGCGGGTGATCTGAACATTACATGGAGTTGAGTTACCTGGAGGGGGTATGTTCTGTCTGAATCATAAGCGCTTAGATCTCCACAGGCCAGAAACGGCACGATCACACGATTAGGGCCTTCCAGCTGGTTAAAATCCACATCTACCAAGAAAACCAGAAACAATATAAAGTGGCAAAATCAGCAGAGTCAGGCGGTGCTGCAGGGAGACGGGCGGTGCAGCAGAGCGTACTCACTATAGCAATGGTCCAGCAGGGGGTTGG